TTTCGCTGGTGACTTCCTAATTAGCCACTTGTTTATGTTTTGATTTGCAAAATCGTGTATATATAAACAACATTTGTTTTAAACTTTGAAGCGTACCATCAATATGAAATAAGACTCTCATACAGCCCGATAATGTTAGGCGGAATAGAAATAAAATTTTTCATTTTATGAAATAATTTCAACTTGTTTCCATTCGACTCAGAAGTTAACCAATCTACCCAAAATATGACCAGTTTATTCCATTTTCGCAAATTATGATGTATAATATAGACTCTAAAGTCTTACACACGTACGCACGCGTGCCCGTGCGCACGCACGCGCCCACACACACGCGTGATATATATATATATATATAAGGCTCGTAAGTCACAAATCTCAAAATGTAAATAATAAGCAATCAAATTCAAATTAAAAATAATCCGGAACTATAATTTCAGCAATCTTATAGTCTAACTGACCAACTTGACAAGACGGACTCCATGACACCAAAATTTATCCAATTTGAGTCAAATAAGGCCTAGATCAAGGCATTAAATTACTTTTGGAAACTTCGGGTGGTTAATTGAATGATCAAACAAATTCCAAATCAGACAAGCTTATAGTCAAATCAAGTAGCTTGACAAAAAGAACCCAACGAGTCTAAGATCACTCAATTCTAAAATCGTTAGGGCACTCAAATGTCCACAAAATATTGTCTGATCTAGGGAATCTCTTCATGTCATCTAATGAAGTGATATGGATTCTTTTCTTAATTATGGGAAGGCCTCTCCCAAACTACAAATAGGCCCTACCAACTTCATGAAGGGGGTTCTAGAACTTGAACCGAAGGAAGCCCGAAGCTTGGAGTAGTTGTGGTTTAGTGTTTTACACTGAAGGTTCAACAAACGACACTCACTCCTGCAACCGACGATCGTAATCAGCCTCACGTGCTCATTGCAACAAGCCCCTTGCAAAATCAGGACAAATGCTATGGAATTCTGGCATACATTACTGAGCATCGAGGAACTCGATGGAGCAATGCATCTTCCTGAACGTTGTGCAGTAACACGCCCTAAAGGCGGTGTAACAACACACCCCAAAAATAGTGTAACGACGCAACGCGAAGACTGTATCATGATGCATCTCACAAGCAGTGTAACGACACACCCTGAAAATGGTATAATAACACACATCGTAGACAATTTAATGACGCACATTGAAAACGGTGTAATAATGCACCCCATATACAGTAAACAACATACCCTTAGGTTGGGATCATGAATAATGTTTTATTAAAGTTCTAACGAAAACTCCCTGGAATAAATGTTTACAACCACAGCACACATAATGCAGTGACATTCTACTGACATATGAAATCTCTCCTCACAACTCTCCACTACAACATACATGATCAACTACAGTTTATGTATTCTGCGGCTCATGTCGCTCCCAACTCCAGCATATGAAGTCTACAAATGTTATTAGAGCTCTCAGTTATAACCAATATGAACAACTACAACCTACACAACCCACAGCTCACTCAGCTCCTAACTTCGGCCTATGGCCTACAGACATTATTACAGCTCACCACTGTACTCTGCATGACAATTACAACTTATATGACTCACAGCTCATACAACTCTCAACTCTGACCTTTGTGACCTACTAATGTTATTGCAGCTTAACATCATGGCGTATGTGACTAACTACAGTTTACGTGGCTCACAACTTTTGTAGCTACCTACTATGACATTTGTGGCTAACCAACGCTCCTAAAGTAACCATCTTTGACCTACATAGCCAGCTCCTAAAGTAACCATCTTTGACCTACATGACCAACTACTGCCATGACTTTCAACTATGTCCTCTAAGATAAGCTCGCATGATAGTCATCTCCTACAACATTCATGGCAGGATATTGCCATCGTAGCAACCGAGTCCGACACTTGCAACATGCTATCATTGAGAACTATATTTATTAAAGTCAGATTACAACTATTATCGATGAACTACTGTTGTACATCTATGATGATCAACTTTGTAACTCCATTTTCACTAATTCAAGAGAATAGTGGATCAGTGTACTTACATTTCCATAGTATATTTTTACATTTCCATAGTATATTTTTCTAACTTTATCTTCCAATTAGGGGAGCTTCAGGCCACAGCAGGTCGGGTCGAGCCACTGCGGGTCGAGTCGAGCCATTGCGGGCTGAGATGGACAAAGTTGTTTTGCAGAACCATTCGTGCGGCTGCTTGCACACGTTCGCTTACCTAGGGGTGTGTGTGTGCATATGCATTCTTGCGTGCGTGCGGGCTACAGGCTTCAAACTTCCGTGATTTTTTTTAGGTTGTTTTATTTTTTTGAATCACTGTCTTTCTACCATATTTTTTTACCTATAAATTGGCCCAAATAGGAGGGGAAAAAGCACACTTCCCCTCAGGGGAAAGTGTCACAGGGAATCCATTGGCTTGCTATTGTGCCTCCTTCAGCACTTCCATTGTGCAACCCCAGAGTTCCTTGTTGTGCCTACTTCAGCACGGATGTAGCACAAGTCATGAGATTCCTTTGGTCTGTTATTTTGCCTCCTTATGCGCTGATGTAGTACAAATCCTGGGGTCCCTTTAGCTAGTTGGTGTGCCTCCTATGCCGACGTAGTGCAACGCCTTAAGTCCCTTTTATCAATTGTTGTGTGTTCCTTGGTGATGGTGATCTGCAACACTTGTTGGTGACTTCGCCCAACTTTTGGCTATTGTAACCAAACTTTTGAATAATTGTTGCCTAATTTAGGGATATTTTTGCCCAAATTCTAGGTTGTTGCTACCTGACTTCTAGGACATCGCTACTCAACTTTTGGGCTATCATTGCCCAATTTTTAAACTGTCATTGTCCAACTTCTTGGTTGTTATTGCCCAACTTCTAGAGTGTTTTTGCCCAACGCCTGGTTGTCCTTATCCAACTTATGGGCCACCGTTGCCCAACTTATCGGTCATGGTTGCCCATATTAACTTTTCATCAATCATTGTCCGACTTCTAGGCTAATTTTTATTCATTTCATAGGGTTGTAGATGCTTGGTTCCATTTAGTGTTGTGGCTTGATGTAAGATTATTGTTTTCGTGTAACTTTTGAAGTTAATAATCTCTTGAGATTCTTAGAATACAATGTAAACTATTTGAGCCTGCCAGTTTGACCAAGTTTGTTGAAAACGAAGTTTCGGACGAATTTTAATTTGATTCAAAATATTTCTTGTTTAAAAAATATCAAGAAACCAATGTCAAATGTCACCAAATTCCCGCGATAAAATTTGTTAATGACGCATCAATAATAATAAGTTGTGTCGAGCATACAACAACAACAATAAGTTATGTCGAGCAGAAACAACATGTGCAAAACAAATGCATTCCCCCAGTGATTTAGAACCATATCCTATGCACATGCATTGTAGTTTCTCTTTTAGCAAACCATATCTTCTCTTTAATTTGGGCCTATGTCATGTTTACTCTCACTATATGTAAATTTTTTTTAAAAAAAAATAGCATTATATATATATATATATATATCAACAGATAGAGATATACACACACACAAAACTTGTCATATTTTTATAAGTTTCGAGAGTTTATCTATCACGAAGCAAAAAATTAAAAGCAAACATGACTTCTTCATATACAATTTATCTTTTCATTTTGCCAGTGTTGTTGTTCAACGTTTGCCGATAAGGTGATACATGATGTCAACACTAACATTAACTTATGTTATCGCCAACAAGGTTAATGCATGTTGTCGACACCAACATAGATGCATAGCATCACCAACAACATCCATGCATGTTATCAATACTAACGCCAACACCAACAAGATTGTTCCCCACTATCAAACAATATTAACACCCACCATCACTAATATGATTGATGTACTTTATCGACATAAACATTAACACACTCACAAACAAGATCTAAGATATACCACAACAAGATTCATTAATTTTAGCATTGTGTGTGTGTGTGTACATACATACATATATCTAGAGAGAGCGTGTGTGTGTGGTACTGGTATATTCTCATCATTGAATAATTTTGTATTTATTGTAATTTTCATTGTTGTTTTCTTCTAATGCCAATATATAAGAACAAATTACATTCAATTAAACTAAAACAAAAAAATAACCTTTTTATTGATTTTAACACAAATCATTATTAAAAAACAACAAATACTAAAACCAACATGGGAAAATGTTAACATTATCAAATGACCATCAACATACAAATGAGGCGTGGAACTCGTAAAACAATCATTTTGAAATTACCGCCCGCAAGCCGTTGAAGGAACTCGTGTAATAATAACAGTTAACTCCAAAACTCAACACCCACATGGGCTTCCTCCATCCCATCACTTGACCAAGATCCTACTAGATTGTGTCCGGCCCCATTCTCTTACACTTCAAAATTAATACCATACCCAGGCCTAAACCACTCATGTGCTTACCAATAGCACCATGTGATGCCTCTCTTGCTCTCTCTCTCTCTCTCTCTCTTTCTCTCTCTCTCTCTTCTCTCCACTCTCCTCTCTCTCTCTCTCTCTCTCTCTCTCTCTCTCTCTATCTCTCTCTCCTAACAGCTCCAACAAGAGCTTCCAAAAAAAAGTTTAATAATTAACTTTCTCAACCATGAATTCTATTGACATTTCAAAAACAAATTTTGATTAAAAAAAAGAGAGAAAATCTGCCCAACTAGGTGTGTTTTTTGTTCTTTGTTTTGTCTCTTACACAATAAGAAGAAAGCAGAAGCAAGCCAAAACAAGCTGTAAGCTAAGTTACAAACCCTAGTGTTAGATGAATATGGATGTAATAAAGAGTTTCTAATGAAGCTGACAACCACATATCAATTTATGAAGAATCCCTCATGTTGCCATGTTCCCCCCAGTGCAAAGCAAGTCTTATCATGTCACCATGCTCTAGAGGCCCCACACAGAAATTAAGAGTCAGTAGGATACAAAAGAGGGGTTTGAACTTTGAAGAAGCTAAATCACATGGGCCACCTCATAATATATCGCTCCTATTTAGCAATCTAATCAACCAAATTTTTTTCTGATATTACACCACTGCTCATGTGCCTAGTTGCTGACAAAAGAGGTCCAGGTTAGGGGTATTATTTCATTGCAACTTGAACCATTTCTTTTTATAAGAGAAAAGCATAAATCGAAACAACAAAGAAATCAGACGCACACAATAGCAGAATGCCAAAACTGCAGAGATACAGAGGAGTGAGGCAGAGGCACTGGGGTTCCTGGGTCTCAGAAATAAGACATCCATTACTGTAATGTTTCTCTCACAATTCCTATCTTTCTTTCCACTTTGATTGTTTCTGTTATTGATTTTTATATAGTCAGAAGATATATGAGCTCATCATCAGTCTTGATCTGATTTCAATGCAGAAAAACTAGGATTTGGTTGGGTACCTTTGAGACAGCTGAAGATGCGGCAAGGGCCTATGACGAGGCGGCGAAGTTCATGTGCGGAGCGAGAGCGAGGACCAACTTCCCGCTGAATTCGAGCTCGGTGTCGGCTTTATCGCCCAGCCTTGTGGCTAAGCTGGAGAGATGCTGCATTGCTTCTCAAGAGGAGATGAGGAGAGCCAAAGTGGAGATGGAAAGCGAGGAAATGAAGTGCATGGATGAGGAGTCTATTGAGGAGATGATTGAGGAGCTAACATACTATGGTTCTGTGGAGATATCATCTTCCTACTCATCTTCTTCTACTGCCACCTCTTGCTCCAATTCCATAAATTGAGCTTTAGCTGGTTTTATAAGAAAAAGCTATGGGGCATTATGCCTGGGGCTTTATTTCGGAAACTAATTATAGTGGAGAATTGAGAGAGTTGGTTTTTATGATTTTGAGCATCATCATCATCATCATTAACCGGTCAGCTGCATGACTCCTCATTCTCTATTGTATGAAATATTAAACGTTATTATGATTTTTTTTGCATAATTTTTATCTAGTTGTCTTTAATTATTTTTTTCTTTGTTGATCATTTGATAGCATCTTTTATCTATCTATTTAGTCAGTATATTTTTCATCACTCATTGCATGTGTTCAAATTATTTGAGTTTATTTAATTATTTTATTTTTACCATCAAGTTGATATATTTTGTTTGTTTATACCTAAATTATGGTATATTGTGTGGGGGAAGAAAGATTTCAATGCAGCAGAAAATATTCGATTTTAGGTACATCTTCAAGGCATCTGCAGATCACTGCAATCAATTCAGACGTTAGATCCCAGGCCAAAAAAAAAAGGTGCAGTGGAATTGATATGGATACAAATCACTGTTATGTTTAGTTGTATTTTTCAGATCTACTTCAGCACTGTCAGTCTGGGAATTCTTGACTCTTCTGTGTGGACTTTAGGCCGTGTTGAATCACCGACGTACTCATCATCTGACATAAAGCAAACAATTTTAAATGACTTTCTCCAAAAGCATTGCGGCTATTACATTTTATATCCCGGAAAGGACCTAAAGGCCATGTCTCAACCGTTTGACAGCATGCATTTACGTCATAAAATCACTTTATTAGCACTAAAATGATTTTCCAAGGCTTCCTTTGGTCAATGGAAAGGATCTAGGCAGTCAGAATCTGTTCAAAATTGATAAAAATTCGAGACATTTACAAACATACCATACCATTCTTATGAATTTACATAGTCTAGCACTTAAACTATTTTTCACCTGCATGTCACCTTACTTGTGCATGAAAAAATGTATTGATATTTTTTACTAGATTTAGGTGGTCTAAATAAAAAACATAATGTTTAGTTATTAAATATATAAATACATAAGAATTGTGCGGTACGTATGTAAATGCCCCTCAATGTAAATATGAAAGTACAGGCGTTAGATATGTAAATCTTCCTAAAAATTTTTACTTAGTCTGTTCCAACCTTTCAAAGGGTTCAACTGTGCAATAAAAAACTTACAGAAACAGCAGAAACGGGTAAAACTAGCAAAAACCAATGAAACTAAATCAAATCTCAGTAGAAACTATTGAAAATTCTAAACTTATAATCATCAAACTCATATTTTGAGATATATTTTTAAAAATATTTAAATCCTTTATCAGAAAAAAAAAACACCCAAATTGAAAATCAAAACTAAACTCGTCAATCTGACAAAACTATGAGAACCATCAAAACAATGCTTTTGACCACAATAAAAACCGAATCTAAAGTTCTTTTGGGTCCAAGTTCAAATTTGGAGAATATCAATAACTTGTTCTGTTAGTTCCTACTTTCTAGTTTCTACATCTTTCCTTCAAAGTAGAAAAAGCAGAGAAACAAAGATTATTGAAGATAATATCAAATAGTAAGACAGAAAATCTCATCACTTTCTGAAAGGACATGAATTTTAGTTGTATAAAGGCTATTATAGACCTCAGAGCCTCAGCGGCCTGTCACATGCTTCATGCTGACCAAAACTTTATTATTACCGAACTCAATGCGACTTCAGGATATTTTAGCATTTGATTATACGGAAATTGAAAGCTTCCATGCGGTCTGCAATAAATATAAATCACTTTTGCATGCTCCTTAAAAAGTTTAAGATAGTGCGGGTGCTGGTTAAATTAATTAATATAAATTTTAGCAGTAGTTATCAAGATTTTTTGTTGATAAAATACAACAAATATTAAATTTGCTCAGTTGCACTAAACATTAAATAAAAAAAGGGAGGCATTTACATGCATACCACCCAATTCTTATATATTTACATATCTAAGACTTAAAATCTACTTTTATACATTTACACCACCTAGATCTTTCATATCACATAAAAAATGCCATCTTAATTTAAAAAAAAAGTGAAATATACCTTTCCATATATAGATAAGGCATCATGTATGTAAAAATTGAAGTTTAGGTGTTAGATATGTAAATTCATAGGAATTGAGTTGTATGTATGTGAATCTTCCTTAAATAAAAAAGCTTGTAATAGTCATCAGCTTTAAAATCATTGCATGCAAAGTTAATAAACCCAAAGGGTGGTTTTGTAATTTACTCAAAAAGAAAAAAAATTGGTATCAATCACATTAAAAGAAAGCTCGGGATACTCACAGTGCTAGATTCATGCATTGTTTGGTTCTATGCATTCCTTCATACTTATGGAATGAGTATCTTGAGCTTTATTTTCGGGAGGATGTCTGAAGGAAAACTTCCCGTTACTGGACAAAAAGGAGGTTAATATATGACCATTAATTAAACACAAAATTCAAGCAGCACATGCATGTTGTATTTTCTGAGCGCTTCGAAATTAGCAACAAGCAACATGCTGCATATAGATTTATGTAATGAGCATTTCCAGTAATTTATTAGTTGTAACAAATGTTCCAATAATCGCCACGTCAAATTTTTTGGACCACGATAAACATTTTGCTTTAAATAAATTTATCTAAAATAATTGATTAGGCAATCATTAAGGCATCTTGCTTTAGAAAAAAAAAAAGGAATTCTAAAAAAAATCAGTACATTAATGTTATGCCTAAGCAAATCACTAAAAGTCCTTCCAGGTCTTGTTCTCTAAATGTAACACGTGATCATGATTAAGTTTATGTCCTTTGGAATCAATTTTATGAGCCAACCTATAGTAATTTAAGCTCCATTAATTATATGCAAAAGCACGTTGCAACCGTTGCAACCTGAATATTCTGCGTTGCTTAAATCTGAGTATGAGGAGTTGCGACCGTATAGATTCCTTAAATCCCTCCATGATTCTATAAAACTATTTTCAAACAAGAACCAAAATGAGTAGAAATAAAAATTTTTATAAATAAAAGTTGTTTAAAATGAACCAAATAGATTTAAGATTCATACAGCACCCAACAAAAATTAGAAAATTCAACTGCAGATAATTAGATTAAAGCTAATGATATTTATTGATCATAACTTCATCGTACAATAGATCTTCCAAAAAGAAATTACAGCATGATAAGTAACTTATAAGATCTCCTACATAAAAATGCTATCATTAAGAAAAATAACAGTCTTCACAAATAATAACGGATCACCCGAAACATTGATATTTACAAATTAACCACCGAGAAGATTTTTATAAACTACTGAACCGATGTATTCTTGTGTATCACTATCGAACTTTTGAGAATTTGATAACAATTAAAAATATGGGTTGCGGTTTTACCATGAATTTTGATATTTGAGTGAGAATTTGAAAAATGGATGAAAGAAGGTGGCTGATTTGCAAATAGCGAATTTCGGGTGGTCTGTATGTAATTGCGCCAAAAAAAATTAGCATACTACATAAATAACCTATGCAAAGTTGCAAACAGCCCTTCAGTTACAAGTTGTCACTTGCATCAACGCATTCTGAGACTTTCAGTACAGCATGCATGCAATTTTGAGGAATTATGGGGACATTTATCTGTGGCGAGAGAATCAAACAATTATCGAATAAAATAAAATTGACGGGATAATCACATATAGGCGGTATGCGCTTCTTCAAATCCGCACAACCCAACAAAGGAAATCTTCCAAGGTAATGCTAATCCCCAACCCCAAATTAAGCCCGATAGCATTGCTTCCACCGAAATTTTTGGCAGTTAAACCAGATAGGCAAAGGCGATGGCATGAGATTATATCAATTTAAACCAAGTAATTCAGAAAGAGAATGTTTTTCAGAATGATAATTTTATTCACTTGTTTTATGTGAAAATAAAATTGGAAAAAGATTTTTAAAGTGCTTGTAAAGCAAAAGTCTATTAGCTGAAAAAAAATGCAGTATAAAAAGTTTGTTATATAATTAAAATGCAGTTATTGAAGTTAGTTATATGTAAAAAAGCTCAAGTTTAATTTTTTGGTATTTGGTTTGAATTAAAATGAAATTAATGTAAAAGCTCGGGGCAGCAGCGGAGTGGGGCGTGGGGCGGTGGTGGCAAGCAGTGGCACACATCTTCAGCAGCAATTTTTAATGAAATTGAGCACTCAGAGAAATTTGTCGAGTTTGCTTAAAAATTCACTCAAATTTTACTATACAGTCCAAATTCTTCAAATCAAACAATAAAATGTTTAAAACCTCTACATTTCAAATGTGCGAGCAACACCCATTTACATCCAGCAAAACGGGCCTACATCAAAATCCAACAAAATGGCACCTACATTAAATCACGACATAATAATATAAATTTATCATTTTCAAACACTTCTTCCCACTTCTATGTAACCAAATAATCTCTTGAATGAAAATATTGTGCATAACTCTATATAGCTTACATAAATATTTCATTAATGCTTCATTCACGCAGAAACTACAGCATTCAATGGTTTCCCCGATACGTAAACCCTTTTAAGCCGTGCAAGACCTCACACTTATTTCTAGCTCAGAGAAGTAGGCAACCATCATCAAAACTAGGAAGAAGGATTTACTTTACACCTGCAATACAAGAATATACAACAATGATTACCTTTCCTGAAGATTTCCAACTGCTTCCTTCTCATGAGGCTAAAGGTTGACAACTGAGTTCAAGAACTCCTGCACATTTTAGGTGCAAAGCTCAGATCCGACACCGTTGACTTTAAGAGAGTCACTAAAAGAACAAACTAATTTCTCCAAGCATGGATCACATTTATATTTGCTCCATGACGTTTCAAACTGTAATCCCTTGCATCTGCATAATAAAAAGGACAATATTATGAAATTCGAAAGTAAAGATTGAACGATAGAAAAGGAGGAAGGGGGGACAAAAGTTCTTGGGTGGAAATCCCATGCTAACTTGTGGAGTAAAATTAGAGAATCTAAAATGAAACTCTGTATAGATTCACGGTTCTTTCTCGCCTCTACTTCTTTGTACAAAAGAATGAGCTCATCTAGCAACCTGATAATAAATTATACGGTCAGCATAATAATTTGAAAGATACCAGGAACAGTAATACTTAAGTTGTTCAAAGCTTATAAACATTAATGGATAGAATTATAAGAGAAAAAGAAGAGAGATGGAATCAAAGAAGAAGCATCAATAAACCAAGCAATTTTATTAATTCATAGACTCCGAAAAAAAGATTACATTAGACATGTTGATCCCCTAATATTATCAACAAACTGAACAGGCAAAAAAGGAACAGCCAACAAAAATTTCACGATGTCAGGTCTTAACCTTACCTTTCCATGTATGGTGATTTTCTAACCCATGTCAGTTTTATGATTGAATGTATTCGCTCCAAGACCTAAAAAACAAACTCGATTCATTATCCTAAAAATAAGTAATATTGAATTAACAAGTGGTTTGCAGGGAATTATAGTAATTACCAGAAGAATGGTTTCATCATCGTCGGTATGCAGCCACTGGAAGAAGAGAGGAAAAATTCGGTGGAAGTGCATTAACAATACAAGCCCCATTGCATTAAAAACTGGTTCAATAAGATTAAGCCATGCAATACGATGTTCTCTATTAAATGGGTGGCGTTCCAAATGTGCTAACATCTCATTTAGCATCCGGTCAAACCTTCAAAAAGGAATTTTCTAGTAATGCAAACATACTTTAAAATAATGCACAAATTTAACAAAAATTTTTAATGCAGAAAAGTAGAACATAAGTCATTTTTTAATTAATAAACAAAATACGAGCACCCATGAACGAGAACAATGAAAGCAATAATCATAGTAGCACCAACTTGGAGATCAAAGTTTCAAATGGCAAGCCAATCATCATTTGGATTTCGCATATCCACACTAGTAGTTCAACAGGACATGTGAAACATCGATTACATGTCATAGCATGGATAGGCATACAACTTTAAATTTGTTGTTTACAATCAAGTAAAATGAGCGCATACTATTCATTTTGATGATGGACAATGATATGCCTTGGCACCAACAGCAAACAAAACACGACGAAATCATACTAGATAGGTGGAAAGACAAATAAGGGTTGTTCATACAACAATCGAAGGAAAAACAAGCAAGATACAAAAGATGGTCTACTTTTGAGAGGTTGATTGCTCTCCCACAACGTAGACGTCGCTAGGAGCAACACCAAAAGAAGAAAACACAACAGCCACAAAATTAATGTCTAAAAAACAAAAAAAACCTACGTTTCTCCCCTTAATATAATTCTCCCAAATAATTTGAAAGCTTTCCTTCTAAACTTCCCTCCAAACTCCCCTCAATTTCCCCTCCTTGGATATGCGATTATGACCCGAGTGGACCCCACCCCCTCCTTTCCTTCCCTTGCGCCTCGCCCAAGTCCCTCCCCTTCTTCCCGTGACACAAGCTGGCCCACTTGTGGGCCGACAGGATTGCAATCGATCGGTCCTTTTTGGACCAACTCCTGCCTGAGCATAACATTACTCCCCTCCCAAAAAAAAAAACATTGTCCTCAAGGTGGAAAGAGAAAATCTGCTTGTGAATCACATCGTGAGGCTCCCATGTTGTTTCATAGTCTGATGGTCCTTTCCACTTAACCAATACCTCATTCGCTCCCCTTACTCGTCGACGCACTCCCTTGACCTCTAATGGTTCCAGATTCACCTCCAAGTCCTCCGTCAGCTTCGACAATAGCGTAGATGAGGGTATGTGATCTCCAAGCGCTCGTGTCAGTTGGGATACATGGAGAATCGGGTGTAATGCGGATGATGGTGGTAACTTCAAACGACATGCTACTGTCTCGATGCGTGTCATCACCTCATAAGGCCCAAAATAACTCGGTGAAAGTTTCTCGTTTCTCCTCCTAACCAATATCTTCTGTCGGTAGGACCCCAGCTTCAAGTAGACAATGTTCCCTGGTTCGAATCCATCTGATTTTATCTTCATGTTTTGTTGAGCCCTAAGAAGATGCCCATTGAGCTCTGCTTGTATCTCATCCCTCTCCTCCAAGTACTGATCAACGTTGGATATCAGTGTAATGTTATACCCATAATGTATCAAGTAAGGTGGATCTCGCCCATACGATATCTTAAAAGGGGTTGTTTGTGTGGTCGTGTGCTACAAAGTATTGTATTAATACTCAGCCCATGCAATCCACTTAGCCTATAAATTCAGTGTATCAAATACAAAATAACGCAGGCATGTCTCCATACTCATGTTGACCCCCTCCATCAGCATATCGATCTGGTGTGATATGTGGTACTCCTTTTAAGGATTGTCTCATGCAAACTAAATAGCTCTTTCCAAAAGTGGTTGAGGAACACCTTGCCCCTATCTGATACATTCAATTATGGCACTCAGTGCAAACAGGCTACTTACCCGGATAAACACCGTCGTGACTGAGACAATAGTGTAGAGATGTCGCGAGGGAATGAAATGTGCAAATATATTTAAGTGATCCATGACCACCATAATCAACATGTACCCTTCTGAAAGTGGCAACCTCTCGATAAATACATTGTCACTTCTTCCCAAATCTTCTCCGGTAATGCTAATGGTTGTAGTAACCCCTAGCGCTATGGTCAAGTACTTGTGGCGTTGGCACACATCACATTTTCCACCAAGTCCTCCACTTCTCTGCGCATCCCCGCCAAATAAAGCTCTACCGCTAAGCAAGCGTAGGTCTCCTACAGCCCTGAATGACCCCCGATCGTGCTGCCATGAAACTCTTGTATTAATCTGGGAATATACTCTGAGGACTTGGGTAGCATGAATCGCCCCTGGTGGAGCAGTTGTTGTCCGTCAATGCATATCATGGATGATTGTTCGAATTTTGAAGTAATTCAGTCCTTATTTTTCTCAGCTCCTCATCTCTTTCGCTCTATTGTCTCAAGGCCTCCCAATCTAGGACCACGGTATCGATAGAGTCTTCAATTGGGGTTCCTCCACCTTTCTTGACAGCAAGTCAGCTACCTTATTATCAAATCCTTGCCAGTACTGAATCTTGAAATCATACCCCACTAGCTTGGATAAGCAGCTCTGATGCTCCTAAGTCACCATTTGCTGCTCCAGAATAAACTTTAAACTCCTTTGATATGTCCTGACCAAGAAATGTCGTCCCAACTTGTAAGGCCGCCACTTCTGAATGACCAAGACAATTGTCATCAATTCTCACTCATATACTGACTTTAGCCTCACTCTGGCTGTAAGAACTTGGCTGAAGTAGGCAATCGGTCTCTGATCTTGCATGAGCACTGCTCTGAATCCGTACCCTAAAGCATTCGTCTCTACCATGAATGGTTTACTGAAATCTAGAAGTGCTAATACCAGTACGCTAGTCATGACCCTCTTCAGTTGTTCAAAGGCCTGTGTGGTTTCTCCCCATTTGAAATTGTCTTTCTTCAACTACTCTATCACTGACTATGCTATTGTGTTATATCCTCTCACGAACTTCCGGTATAACCGGTGAAACCCAGGAATCCTCTCAACTCCTTCAAATTTCTTGGTAAGAGTCAATCAACCATAGCCTCAATCTTGAACTGATCCATTGCTATACTTGTTCTGGTCATCACATGTCTTAGGTACTCCACCTGCAATTGTGCAAAAGAACAATTCTTCAAGTTGGCATACAATCGGTGCTCCCTCAATGTCTCCAAGACTGTCCACAGGTGTCCTATATGCTCTGTCTATGTACGACTCTAAATCAGAATATCATCAAAGAAAATCAGGATAAATTTCTGAATATAAGGTTAAAAAACTCTTCATGAGGGTCGTTGGGGCGTTGGTTAGGCCAAACGGCATCAATAAGGACTCATAATGTCGTGAATGATGTTTTGTGCACATCCGTTAAATTCATCCTGATCTGGCGGTACCCAGACTTCAGATAATTTTTTTTGAGAAAAAAATTGTCCCATAAAGCTCATCCAATAACTCATCAATCATAAGAATAGGAAACTTGTCCAACACTGTTTTCTTTTTCAAAGCTCGGTAGTCTACGCAGAATCTCCAACTGCCAATTTTTTTCTTTACCAAAAGGACGGAATTTGAAAAAGGACTCACACTAGGCCTGATAAACCCAGCCTCGAGCATCTCTCGGATCAACTTCTCTATCTCATCTTTCTGAATCTGAGGATACTTGTAAGGTCTGACGCTGATGAGGAAATACCCTCCAATGTAATAGTGTGCTCGTGCTTCCTCCGAGGAGGTAACCAGTTTGGCTGCTAGAAAACATCGATAAACTACTGTAGGAGTTGTCGGACCCCTTCCGAAAACTCTACCAACTCTGAATCTCGAACCTCCTCAATGCTCTGCAACTCTACCAAGTAATCCAATTATGCTCCTCGAATCGACCTGACCAGGATTTTGAGGGACACAATGGTTTTGCATAAGCTAACATCCCCTCTCAGCACCACGTTCTTACCCTCCAATTGCAACTCTATCGTTAATGACTTCCAATCCACATTCATCTCTCCTAATGCTCTTAGCCGCTTCATCCCTAAAAATTAATCGGTGTTGCCCAAATCTAAATAAAGTCTTCCACCACTTGTAAACCATGTAGTGTCAGAATCACTCTCTTGCAAATTCCCCTACTTTTCTCCACTTTCCCCATACCCATCATGACGTCGGAGCTCCCTGTAGTTACCAGTTTCAACACTAACTTCTCCACAACTTAATTTGAGATAAAGTTATGTGTGGTCACGCTATCCACCAACATTTCAATCGATTGTTCTTTAATCCATCCCCTCACCTTCATGGTGTGATTTGGGGTAGATCCCACAACTGAATCGAGGGACACCTCCGCCACATCCAAATGCAAAAGCTCCTCCACTGCTTCCACTTCCGAGTGCTCACTCTCTGTATCCTCCTCTTGAACTAAAGGAACATGAAAGGTGTGTTCCTTGCAACGGTGTACTGATGCTTATTTCTCATTAAAGCGATAACACAATCCCTTAGCCCTTTTGTCAAGCACTTCTGCATCTATGAGGCGTTTAAAATTACCCCCAGGGCTGGGTTTGATACTCTTCTCCTTCGGTGTTTCTTTCTAAAATGACACCGTCTCGATCTTCGATGTCGTGTTTGTCACAATACTCTTGTAAAATTCCACAGCGTTACTGTTTTTACCAGTCTTCTTCACCTGTTTCTTATCCTCCATAATCTGAGTGAGCTCCATCATTTCTTTTAATCAACACAGTCACAAAGGGCGGATGACCATTTGTATGTAGCTGCAGGCCTTTCAAAAAGTTCCCTTACAAATATGCTGCAGAAATCTCACTCAACCCCCCTAACAAAAGCTTTAACTTCTCTCGGTACTCTATAATTGTCTCCTTCTGAGTCAGAGCATAAAATTGCTCATGTAGGACGCCTTTCAGAATGGCTCAAAAACGTTCCAACAAGCAATCCTTAAACTCGTCACATGAGTGTATCTGATACCTTATTTCCATCCACTAGAACCATGTTAAAGCCTTCCCCTCCAAGCATAATCCCGCTGCCAAGAGCTTCTCTTCCTCAATCAGTCTGTTGATCGCAAAGTATCGCTCCACACGATACACACATCAAGGTTCATCCTCCCCTTCAAAATTTGGTATCTTCAGTTTCTTGACCCTTGCATCTCTATCTCAATTTCCTCTCCCTTTGAAATTTCCCCCATGTATCTAGGGTGAAACTCCCTTCTGCAGTCATAGGCATATCCCACTCATGATTCCCTCCTTCCTCCATCATATTCTTCCAAGCCCCTTCCCCCGTCCCTTCTCCTTGGCCCACCCCTCCATAGGAAGTCTCCACTCCCCCTTCTTTCGAAGTCCTAGGGAGACGCTCTTGTCGGTAGATCGTTGTCTTCTTGCTCAATCTCCTTCCCCTTTGACCTGGCCAAGGATTTCCAAATCAACCCTTGGTTAGGGTTTGCAATTGAAGCGGTCAGCAAAGCCTTGGTTTGCATCTCCATGAGCTTTTTCATCATCTCCCACATTTCCGCAACGCCTTCAAATCTATCCATCATTCGACTTTCAATAGAAGAAAATCTCTCCTCCATGATAGCAAACATCTCTTCCATTCTGGATTGAATTTGCTCCACCTCTCCTTCTAGCACATCAACTTTTTTTTATTGCCATCCCACCAAGATTTATGCTCTGATACCAATTTGATACACCTCGACATCAAAATCAGTGAGCAAACCACGCCGAAATCACAATAGATAGATGGGAAGACACAAATAAGAGATGCTCTTACAAAAATCGAAGGAAAAACAAGTAAGATAAAAAAGATGATCAACTATAAGAGGTAGATCGGCTCTCCCACACCCTAAACATCGCTAGGAACAACACCAAAAGAAGAAAACACAACAGCCACAAAATTAATGCCTAAAAAACAACAAACTCTAGGTTCCTCCCCATAATAGAATCCTCTCAAAGCATTTGAAAACTTTCCTTGTAACTCCCCTCCAAACTCCCCTCAAATTATCCTCCTCAAATGTGATTATGGCCCGAGGGGACCCCAGCCCCTTCTTTCCTTCCTTTGTACCTCACCTGGGTCCCTTACCTTCTTCCCGCAGCACAAGCTAGCCAGCCTGTGGGCCGGCAGGATTGCAATCGGTCGGCCCTTCCTAGACTGGCTCCCATCTGAGCGTAACAAACAACAAAAGATTTTGATTTCTTAATGTTATTAGGTGTAGGCTCTGAAAATTTGCACCCCGGCCTCCCTCCAAATGAATGGAAAGAGGTTTACGATAAGATTCGAGTCAAATTTTCAGAAGTCAAATGAGACAATAAATAAGATACTACCGAAAAATTTTGCCCTCATATTGTAAGGACTTTAAAATTTAAGGTTTGAGATTTCCTATAAGCTCAAACTTCTATTATTAATTATCCCTCTTGATAGCAAGAGAACACATTTGTGTAAGATTACTCATTAGAATGTTGATCACTCAACATATAGTAGCAGCAATTTAAATTTTTTATTTTAGAAATTTATCAATATGAGCTTGGAGTGAATAATGGAGAAATGATGATGAACCTAATTAAGATTACATGGTTTTATCATCCTGAGTTGTAGTAAACTCTAATATCTTTAATCAAAGAAAATCCTCGACCTAGCAATCATGATTTGGTTATAGCCAAAAGGAACCTTGCAGACCTGGGTAGATGTTTATACAACAACAGCAACAAGTCTTTATCCCACTAAGTGAGGTCGGTTACATGAATCTTTTTCCACATTAAGTTGTATTGAGTGCATATTTTCATTTAGTTCTAATAAATTAAGATCATTTTTTATACAACATGCCCAAGTCTTTTTGGGTCCACCTCTACATTTTTTAACATAAGTCGAATATAAAGCATCCACTCTCCTAACTGAAACCTGAGTATATAATTATCTAAGGGGAAAAATTCAAATCAACATTAGCTAACAAATGACTCGGTGTCTGTCAAGAATATCATATCATTCATAACTTAAATGAGTAGAAAGTCATTGGAAAACATATAGGTTATAGTCATGACCATAAAATAGTGAATTCTCTACTAGTCAAATCATCTGGTCAAAAGGTTTTGATCGTAACAACTTTATTTGTGGAGTCTAATAGTCAAATCAAGGAAAAAAATAACTATGATCACATCTTTAGTATCATAATATTGCTTTGAGCATGAATGTAGCAAATTTGATATGAAATTTGCTCATAAGCTCAAGTCAACACAAAAATTGTCTCTCGATAAATAATTATAAAATGATGATGAGATTTTGCTCTCAACCTTTAAATTATAAAATTTCATTAAAATATTTGAATTTTAAATTTAAAAAAACTTTAGTTGAATTTTGAAAACTTTTTGAAAATAAAAACCTCTCAAATTAAGATTTTCTTGAAACACAATCATAATCAAGAGAATTAAACTAGTTTGAAATTTCCATATTTGTTATTTAATTGGAAATTGTCATCTAAATATCATTAAAGCATTGATCATGTCCGCTCTAGTCTTTATAAAGAAAGTGATCAAATTGGCTTAATAAAGAACGACTCTGTCAATTCTAGTCCCTATAAAAAGGAGAATCAAATAAGAGGTGAAAGATAAACATATGGAGTTTTACCCTTATCGGGAGTAAAATTGCACTACCTAATATGGAACTTACGACCTTGCCCTATAGACAAAATGACTCACTTGAGAACATACAACATTAATAATTTTTGGATTTGATTTTTGAAAAAAAATATATATATAAGCTAAATATATTTGCATGCTCCTTGAGGCACCCTTGCTTTGAACTTAAATTGAATTATTTGAGCCTACGGGACTTTCTCTGATGCTTAAATTTAGATACTTAGAAGATCGTCATAACACATACTGGTTTACTTTAAGCTTCAAGATATGAGTATATTTTAGAGAACTAGCATGTTTTTAGACAGCCTGCACAACTTTATTTAGTAGAGAACTTAAGCCAAAGAGCACAACATGAAGCACATGTATGGCTTAAAATTATCATGATTCAACTATTTTGTGGGAGTACTTTATAGTTCAGTCAAACACAATTTTATTTTGAATTTTAAAACAATAACCGTCCGCTTGTAGGTCTGTTGCGAATGCTGTGGCATATTGGGAGTAATTTGATTTTGTTGTTCAGTCAAACAATGCCCTCAATTCATTGAATTCTTGCACATTTAGAGGAGTTTGGTTTGTGCTCGATGATTAATATTCAAATTTACTTTAAGTCCAATTGAGTTAAAGCACAAGTTTTATTTGGGTAAGGGAATCGAAGTTACTAGTCACCAAAACCTAATTAAAATCTTCATAGGAGAACCAAACAACAACTTCACAATAAAACAATATGGTTCTAAGAGAGCACAATAACTAAAGTAATGGAATTAAGAAGGTAACAAGGATCAGGGACTACCAAGAGCTACGTGGATTTTTTTGTTGCGTGCAAATTACTAAAAGTGTGGACACCTCAATAATGCGGGGCCAAAGGTCATCGCTGGCAGCAATATTTCGACAGCAAACATCCAGAAATGCTTCTTCATACCATGCCAACTCAGCTGCATTTACATTCTTTCCTAGATGGATTAACACAAACATCCCCTGTTCCTGAAAAAAAGAATATATATATAGATTGTTAGAATAAAACCCATTAAAAGATCCACCAGCAAGAAAAGAAATAAAAATAGGATACAGTAGAAAAAAGAAATACAATAATAAAAAAACCAATACTAATAGCTCAAAATAATAATAGGAATTAATAACGGCTAGTAATAGTTATTAATATTCTAGTACTCCCCCTCAAGTTGAAGCATATATGTCAGTAATCTTCAATTTGGATTTGAAGTAATCAAATAGTAGAGGAAGATTATTTGTGAGGATATCCACCAATTGGCTACTGGATTACAGAAATGGAACACAAATTTCCCTGGACTCGAGTTTTTCCTTGATAAAATGTCCGTCAATCTCAACATGTTTGGTGCAATCATGTTGGACAGAATTGTAAGCAATGTTAATGACAGTCTTATTATCACAGAACAATTGTAGAGGGACGGAGACCGGCATACGTAGTTCAAGGATGTATCTCTGAGTGCCCCAAATCGTGTTGTCATGAAACTCCTGCAATAGTTTGGGGATGTATCTTGATATCATCGATAACATGAATCACCTCAAGTAAAGCAGTTGTCCCCTCGATGCATATCCTAGATGATTGTTCGGATCCTATAGCAACTCTGTCCTGATCTTCCTCAACCCTTTGTGCAGCTCGTTCTCCCGCCTCAGGACTTCCTAATAAAGGACCAAGGGCACTGCTAATGCTATCAGTAGGGGCTCTTCCACCTTCGATAGTACATTTGTGGCTTTATTCTCTAATCCTAGGCAGTACTGGGTCTCAAAATCGTAACAAAGAAATTTGAATAGACACCTTTGATGCTCCTCAATCACCATCCTCTGCTCCAACAAATACTTCAAGCTCGTTTGATTTATCCTGACAATGAAATATCTCCCCAACAGATAGGGATGCCACTTTTGAATGTTCAAGAAAACAACCATTAATTCTCACTCGTACACGGACTCAAACCTCGCCCTGGTTGTGAGTGCCTGGCTAAATAAAGCAATAGTGTGGTGGTTTTGCATGAGCACCACCCACAATCCATACTCCAGCGCATCCTTCTCTAGCACAAATAGTCTATGAAAGTCTGGAAGTTCTAATATTTGAACGCTAATCATGGCTCTCTTCAATTATTTGAAGATTTGTGTTGTTGGTTGCCCCTACTTGAAATTGTCTTTCTTCAGTTGCTCCGTCAATGCTTATGCTATCATGTCATACCGTCTCAAAAATTTTCGATAGTGCCCGTGAGGCCTAGGTATCCTCTCAACTCCTTAAAGCTCCTCAACAAAGGTCAGACCAACATAGCTTCAATCATAGACTGATTTGTTGCTACCCCTGCCTCGGTAACCATATGCCCTAGGTACTCCACCTGTGACTGCGCAAAGGAACATTTCTTCAAGTTGGCATACAACTGGTGCTTTCTCAACGTCTCCAATATTTTTTCACTAGTGTCTCGTATACTCTGCCTTTGTACGATTCTAGAACAGGATGTCATAAAAAAATACTAGGATGAACTTCCTGGCGTATGACTAAGAAAACTCCATTCATGAGAGATTAAAATGTGGTAAGACTGTTTGCAATGCCAAACGACATCACAAAAAACTTGTAATGTCCTTCAACAGTCATGAAAGTTGTCATGTGCGCATCAAATGAATTCATCCTGATCTGATGGTATCCCGACTTCTTATCTATTTATGAGAAGATGGAGGCTCCATAAAGCTCATACAACAGCTCATCAATCACCAAAATATGAAACTAGTTTAATACAATTTCCTTGTTCAAAGTCTTGTACTACACAAAATCTCCAACTACCTTCATTTTTCTTCACTAATAAAACTGGACTAGAAAAAGGGCTCACGTTGGGCCTGATAATCTCTACTTCGAGCATTTCTCAGATCAATTTTTTTATCTTGTTCTTCGGAATCTAAGGATATTGGTATGGTCCGACGCTGATAGGAGGAACTACTTTTAATGTAATGGCATGCCCAATATGGCGAAAACCTGCTAGGCGACTGAAAGATGTCAAAAAATTGATGTAGAAACTGTTAAACATACTCAAGGAGCTCCACCAGCTCTAGCGCCTGAGTCTCCTCTATACTCTGCAGCTTCATCACCTCCATCATGCTCCCTGTATCGTCTTTGCCATGGTATTGAGTGATACCATGGTTTGCATAGGCTGGCATTTCCTCCTCTTAGCACCACCTTCCTCCCTCCACCTGAATCTCCATAATCAAGGATTTCCAATTCAACTTTGTCTCCCCAATCACCTGAAGCCACTTCACTCCCAGAATTACATCAATGCTTCCCCAGTCCAAGAGAAGTCATCAACCACCTATAGGCCCTATCGTGTCAACACTAATCCCCTGCAAATTCCCTAATTTTTTTCCACTTTTCCTATCCCCATCACGACCTTAAAGCTTCCCATATCTACCAGCTTCAACCCAGTTGGTCCACAACCTGATTTGAGATGAAATTATGAGTGGCCACACTATCCACTAACACCGCTATCAGTTGCTCCTCGATATATCCTCACCTTTATGGTGTGATTTGTAGTAAATCCCACCACTAATTTGAGGAAAACCCCGCTACATCCAAATGCAAGTACACCTTTTCCTCCTTTTTTTCCCAAGACACCGCACTATATGCCTCCTCCCCCTCACAAATTAAAAGGCCTTGGACCATGCACTCTTTGCATCAATGGCCTAAGGCATACTTCTCATCACATCAGAAACGTAATTCCTTTGTTCTCTTGTCATGCACCTCTGCCTCCATGAGGCACTTAAAATTGGACTAAAGACAGGCCTCCATATTCCTCTCTTTCGGTGCCTCTTTCTGAAATGTCATTGTCTAGGTTCTCAGTGTCATTGTCGTCGAGTAGTCTCGTGGAATCCTCCCATGGTGTCATTTTTGTCGATCTTAATTTGTTTCTTGTCTTCTACCATCTGGAAGAGCTTCATTCATCTCCCTCAATCCCTGCGGTTTCAATATTAGAAGTGTTGTCCATATATCAGAATTTAGGCTCTTTATAAAATTCCTCTCCAAACCTACTTAAGAAATTCCCCCACTCATCCCAACAAAAACTTAAATTTCTCTCTATAGTCCATGACAACTCCCTCCTCCGTCAAAGCATAGAATTGCTTGTGAAGGTCTCCTTCTCAAATGGCTTGGAAACGTTCCAACAAGCAATCCATAAATTTCTTCCACAAATCGATCGAGTGTCTCTCGTCCCTCCACTGGAATCATGACAAGGCTTTCTCCTCCAAACATAAACCTGCCGCCGTGAGCTTCTCCTCTCCATTCAACTCATTCACTACAAAGTATCACTCCATCCAATACACACATCTGTGTGTATTCCACCTCAAAGATTGGCATCTTCAACTTCTTAACCCTAACATCACCACCCCAACTTCCTCTCTCTCTCTCTGATGTTCCCCCCAAGTATCTAAGATAAAACCCCGTCATTCGATCAATCATATCACAATCTGATTTCTCTCTTTCATTCTTCGGCTCCTCCAACCCCCCTTGCATAACCCCTCCTCCATGTTTTAGTCAAATCACCTCACTCGGAAATCTCTAATCCACCTCCCCTCAAAGTCTTAAGAGAGGGCACTTGATGGTAGGTACTTTCCTCATATTCCTCTCGCTAGATTTCTTCACCTTTCAATTTTGTCAATAATTCTCCGGTCAATCCTTGGTTAAGGCTTATAAATAGAGCCGCCAACGGGATTTTGGATTGCACCATGATAAGCCTCCTCAACATCTCCTCCACACCCTCAATTGGCCCTCAGATCGATTGTCCATGGATGAAAACCTTCCTTCTGTGATTGAGAACTTTCTTCCATCCCGGATGTCAGTTGCCCTATTTATCCTTCCATTCTTTCTTCCAAAGTATCAATTTTCCTTGTTGTCATCTCTCCAAGATTATGCTTTGATACCAAATCGGAATGCTAGGAGACCCCTGCGAACCAATATAATCAAACCAAATGTGAACACTGAATTTGGAAAAGGGCAATACCCTCGCTGGCAAAATGGAGTCATAGAATCTAAATCGGACAGCAAGACAGACTCCTGGCTTAATATGGCACCTCGGTGAAGTGTTGAATGCCGACCACATGGCGAATTCAAGATAACATTAGACATATCGTATTTTAATGGCATTTTCACATAGAAGATTATCTGGATTGAGAGCAATCGGTTGAGGCATTATTCAAGTAAATGGAAATACCACCACCAAGTGAAATATGTAGCCTGCATATTAAAGGGAGAAGGAGCTTGGTGGATCCAGCTGGTGTATGCTCGCAACAAGCACAGCACAATGTGAGAAGTTGATTTCAGATGAAGCAACTATTGTGAGGACATTTTCTCGCTACAGAATATGAACAAATGCTTTATGTTCGATGCTAGAGATGCATCCAAGGTGATCGCACTATTAGTGCCTGCACCAAGGGATTTTATCGATTAAGTGCACGAAATAACTTGAGTGAGACTGAACAACAGCTAGTAGCCAGATACATTGGAGGGTTGAAAGAATCGAAGTTAGAAATGAATGTTGTTTGGTTATTGCCACAGGCTGTAAATTTGGCTTATGAGGCTGAATTACAGCGGTCTCGCCAACCAAAATTCCAGCAGACGCATCAAGAGTTGGGTGAGCATAGCCAAGAACCAACTAGAAGTGTAAACCAAAACAACCAGACCGTCCAGGCTTCAACTGACGGAAACATAAATCCTCAACTAATCCTTTATCGGGATAGTACCTATGAATGATCCGGTCCAGGAAAATGTTACAGGTGTTTCCAATCTGGTCATAGGTCAAAAGAATGCTCAAATCAGCGATAGCAGCAACTGTTGAAAGGAGAATTTGAATTGGATGACAATATGGGTTTCTCTATGGTGAATGAAGAAATTGAGGATGTGCAAGTAGATGAAGGAGAGTTTGTTTCATGCATACTAGAAAAGAAGTTGCTAGCTCCAAGCCAAAACACAAACACTCAGAGACATTCCATATTTCAGGCTGGTTGCACTATTAATGGAAAGGTATGTGAAAAAATTATTTCCTTAAAGGTTGTCAAAGCTCTTCAAATAAAAACAACTAAACATCCTCGACCTTATAAAATCAATTGGGTAGGGGAATCTAAGTGCAGTTACTGAGATTTGTAAGATTTCATTTTCCATTGGTAAGTAATACAGATGTGAAATTTTGTGTAACGTAATTACATGGATGCATGCCATATCGTCCATCTAGGCCGCCCCTGGTAGTTTGACAAAGGGGTATGGTATGATGGGAGAGCTAACACATACATCCTTGATTGGAAGGGGCAAAAGCTAAGATTTCTTCCTACTAGTATCCAGCAGCCTATAAAAATTCAAATCAGGTGGCCTGTCTCTCAGTTACGGGAAATACATTAATGCAGGAATATAAAACTGAAGAAAGGCCTTTTGCAATTTTCCTTCTGGAATAATTTCCTACAGCAACCAAAACTCCTGCTGGCATCCAAAATTTATTACAACAATTTGTTGATATATTTCCGAATGAAATACCTGCACAATTACTGCATAATAGACCTTATCCCTGGCTCGACTCGGCCGAATTTGCCACATTAAAGGCTGAATTCAAAGGAGCAGCAAGTTTTACAAGCAATGATGGACGATTTGCTAAAGAAACACTTCATTAAATCCAGCTTGAATCCCTGTGGTTTGCCGAAATTAGTTCAAAGGAAGAAGTAAAATAGCGTATATGCATTGACAGCCGAGCTATAAACAAAATCACGACCAAGTTTCGATTCACTATGTTGAGACTAGAGGATCTTTTTGACAAACTATTTGGGTCTCGATTTTTTTCAAAATTAAATCTCTGTAGCGGATATCATTAAAACTGTATCCGTCAGAATGGAAAACATCTTTCAAAACTCAAGAGGAGTTGTATGAAAGGAGAGTAATGCCATTTGGGCTATGCAAAGCCCCAATTAATTTATGAGATTAATGAACGATGTTCTAAACTTTTCCCTTGGGAAATTTTGTGTTGCATAATTTGATGATATTCTAGTTTACAGACCAATATTGAAAGAGCGCCTCGCTCATCTGACAACACTCTCAACTACATTAAGACGGCAGAAATTATAGCTTGATATAGCGAAATGCGAATTTGTTGTCCCTAGCGTGCATTTCCTGGGTTATATCGTAAGTGCTGAAGGTATTAAGACTGATTTGATTAAGACTGCTGCCATTCAACCGTGACCTATGCCCAGATCGCTAACGGAATTTTGAAGCTTTCAAGGTTTGTCCAACTTTTATCAAAGATTTATACGGAATTTTAGTGTCCTAAAGGCTCCTCTTACTAACAGATTGAAAGGAAAGAGCTTTGTTTGGAGTAACGAACAGCATTCCATCTTTGAAAGGATCAAGAAAGCTCTCTGTAGTGCACCTGTTCTAGCTGTCCCAAATTTTGTAAAGTCATGCCGAGTGGAGGGGTCCGCCATTGGGATTAGTGGTGCGCTATCTCAGGAGGACCGCCTTATTGAGTTCTTTAGTGAGAAATTAAGTGGAGCTCGACATAAGCTGCCTACCTATGAACAAGAATTATATGTTGTGGTGAGGGCAATTTGTTCATCAAGTATTTGTTCTATATAGTGACCGTAAGTCTTTGCAATTTTTACAATCTCAGAAATCACTGACCGCAATTTTTACAATCTCAGAAAACACTCAGCCGGATGCATATGAGGCAGGTTATCTTCTTGCAAAAATGCAGTTTTGTACTTAGACATAAAGCTGGCAAATGCAACAAAGTAGTGAATGCCCTTAGTAAACGAGCTAACTTATCGGCTGTTGTGCACTCAATTATTACAGGAATTGAATCCATAAAAGGACAATATGTGGCTGATGCCAATTTCGCAGATCCTTGGAAAAGTTGCACTTCAAAATCACCCATTGTTGATTACTCCATAAAACAAAGATATCTTTTCAAAGGTAACCAACTCAGCATTCCTAATATTTCCCTTCCCTCTCACTTGATTAACGATATGCAATCCAGAGGATTAGCTGTTTGCGTCGGTTGGACAAAACCTATAGCCCAACTATCAGTCCATTTTTTTTGGCCCAAGCTTAGACAAGATGTGTGTTGATTCATAGAATGGCATGCCACTTGCCAAAAATACAAAGGTACAACACAAAACACTGGCCTCTACATGCCATTGCCCATTCCCGATACAATTTGGAAGACTTGAACTTTGATTTCTTTCTGGGCCTTCCAAAACCAAGAGAGGATTGGTTATGTTCTAGTCGTCCTCGGCCGGTTTTCAAAATTGTTCCTTTGTTGTTTGCAAGTAAACCTGTGATGCAATTAATGTCGCCAAAGCATTTTTTTTAAAGATATTGTTAGACTACATGGGCTTCTCATAAGTCTCGCATCAGATAGAGATGTCAAAATTATGAGTTATTTTTGGCAAAAATTGTAGAAATAATTGCACACCAAACTCAGGATGAGCTCAGCACGCCATCTCCAAATAGATGGGCAAACTGAGGTGGCAAACAGAAGAACACCCAACAACATGATTCGATGACAGGAGAACACCATAAACAATGGAATAAATTCATCAGTCAAGCTGAATTTGCACACAACTCTATGCCAAACCAATATACTAGGCAATCCCCATCCAGCATTGTCCATAACAAAGCACCAAACCATACGGAGGATCGATCCGTCTTACCTAAAACCCGCAGCAGAAAATCTCGCTGTGGATTTCAAACCCAAGCTTTAGAATCTTAAGGATAAGTGCAACATTTTATCATAACATGATGCATGAATCCTGTATATATCAACACACTGCCTATAAAATCTATTGTTTCTGAAAAAATAGGAAGCCATGAAATGGAAAACAATAAAAGTGACGAAAACGAAAACGTGAGGAAAAAAAAATATTTATAACAGGGACGTGGTTAATATCCTTGAGGATTAACATTCAATTTAGACCCGTGTGTGCGAAATAAAATAGAAAAATACTCGGCGCAATTCAGAACCAAAAACAAGACGTGACAAATGCAAAAGCAGAAAATCAAGACCACTGCATCAGGAGTAGAAGGAAACTGATAAATTTGGAAATGTTAAAAACTGAACCAGAAATAATATCAGTTATTAAACATCACAATTTAGTACCTTCACCTCAGGTGACCAGTGATCCAATGTTGTCAGAGCACATGGCATGACCAAAGCACACATATTTCCCAAATGAGGGTACATAACCTAATAAAAATGCAATCACTGAAATCTAACAAAACTCAATTACGAAGCAATTGAGATCCAGAAACGTGAGAGTGTTATTCAAAATACAAAACCTGGGTCACGAGCCACCTGAACTGATGCGCCGCAACGATGGACTTCGCAACCGGCGCCCTCTCCGACCCCGCTACAAACACCTCCTCATCAGGATCAACACAAGTCTCCTTCACCGCCGCCTTGAGTTCCGGAAGCACTTCAACCATCAACTCAGCGACCATTTCGCGCTCCGCGGCAAAAGATCCAGTGACCGAGATTTCCCGCAGCGCCAATTTCGCCAATGATGACAAACCCTTGGGAATCCAATAAACGGAGGGAGATTCAACTCCCTCCGCCGATGCTAGGGCGGCACAGCAAAGGCAGAAGTCCTTGACTTCTCTGCTGATCGGCTTGAAGACCGCCTCATGCGGAAGAAGAGATTCTAGAAGTGATTTGATGGAGACGGGTGAGCCCGCGGGTGGCTTGTAGAGGGTTCTGTCTAGGGTTTCTCGGATCCGCTCCGCATGTCTGATAAAGGAATAGTCAGACAAAGAAAAGATGTTGAAGTAAGAGGATGAGGGAGAGATTACCGAAGTAGCAGGTGGCGCGGGAGGGAAAAAAGAATGCTAGAAGAGAGCTCCGACGATGGAGGCAGAGAAACCATGAGGGCGCCGCCGGTGATGGCGTCAAAGGAGTCGAACCAGATTCCGGAAACCCGATTAGATGACTCAACCTTTTTTAAATATAATACAAAGTACAAAAAAAAAAATCAACAAGAGCACAAAATTCATAAAATCACAAACTCATAATTTTGTAACAATTATTTGTTACCTTTAATGAAACAACAAAAATAACATCAAACATTTGTCCCCTCAAGTGGGATCCTCTAAATGAATTCTTTTTTCTCCATTGCTCCACATTGTGTCATATTTTCTTTAATTTTAATATATTAATATCATTTTTTATGCAATGAGTCGAAGTCTTTTTAAGTCTACATATGACTTTGTTAACATAAGTCAAATATAAAATATCTTTTCTTTTTATCGGATCATCAGATGGTCGATGTTAAATGTGACCAAACCATCTAAGATAACTCTCTTCATTCTGCATTTTGTCTCTAAGTGTCAAATTATTAATCCACCTAAACATTCTCATCTCAACAATGCTTAACTTTGTTTTATACTTCTCTTTTAAAGGTCACAGTCCGCACCATAGAGCATTACAGCTCTTACCACCAGAGAAAATATTAGGTCATGACTCTGGATGCATCCGGAGTCCTATAATGGAGCGACACATGTAAAGTAGACCAATCAAAGTATATTGTGATGGTCCGCTTTGCACGTGGCACTTATTTATTGGACTCCGGATCATCCGGAGTCCTGAGGTATTATTGATCCGGAGTCCTGATATATTATTTGATTCGGAGTCCTCACCTATTATTTTCTTCTCACCACCAACTTATATAGAAATGAAGTCAAATGAATTCTAGCAACGTTAAACATCAGCAACAAGAAAGCCATGGAAAGAGCTTTGCAATTCATTCACTTGTTGAAACTCATATTATATCATTTTTTAAATCAATCACAATCCAAACTAATAATAAATGGGCAATAGCATACATAGCATTCAAAACATCGCTATTTACAAAATTAGCACCCTTTTTCATCCATTTTCAAATCTTCTGTAAAAAATTTCAAATTTTACAATAAATTCCTAACCCAACCTTTTCATTTTTATCAAATTACCAATAGGTGTAAATACATTCCCAATTTTGAAAGTAGCAATGTTACGTAGCATCCAATCTTGGAGTTTGTTGAACCATCGACGGCAGTCACTTTGGGCATACAAAAGTGTCGCACCGTCCAAAAAATTCATCCACCCGACAAATTCTTGAAATCGGGCCCCCAATGCGACTCAAGATTTCAAATTCTTGATCCTACAAAGGAAGATGAAATCCAACTAATCATATCGCTTTATTTTTTTTAAATTTTTAATTCATGTGAAAATTTTTAACCAAATATATAATCCTAGATCGTTTGATGCTCAACAAACCTGGTTCAGGTCCACACAAGAAGAAATCAAATTTGACCGATACTCACGGAACACAAGTCAACCCGCCAATAGTATTCTCACATGGGTGATTAGATTTATCTGACAATATCGCTAGTCAACTGATAAAAAATTTTCCCAAATATTTATCCCTTAGCACCCATGCGTCATTATTCACATCTCTTAACACAAATGTTAGGTATGACTCATATACCAGATAAGGGACAGATGTTTGAGTGTAGCAGAACGAGCCAGCAGAGTGGAGTGGAAACATCTGTCCAATTGAAGGAGCTTTTCGTCATGTGGGTTGGGGGTGTAAGGGCAAAGTCTCCGCGATACAGTATAAGGGTAATTTTATAATTACATATTGTATGTCAGGTTTATATATTATATCAATATACATATGAACATATATGTATATATCTATATAAATATCTATATATGTATATATATATATATATATATGTATATGTATGTATGTGTGTGTATGTATGTGTGTGTGTGTGTGTGTGTCATATTTGTAACCTTATGGATCTGTACTCTTTTTCTGAATTGAAAGAAAAGCAGCTGCTCTGCTCCTGAGGACGTAAGCAGATTATCGAATTTCGTTAAATCTCTGTGTGTTTCTTCTTGATTTGTGTCGATTCTTGCATTTCTTTACCCTAAACTTCTCAACAACAAAAAAACAGGTTAAGTTATGGTTGTCATTCCATACTTACTCGCAATAAGACTGGTGATGGGCAGCTCACGAATCTCCCAATCAACAAATATGGACGGTTACCCTCACGAAGACTACAACAAGATCCACTTAATATGTCTAACATAAGACATGGCCCGTCCAAGGCGACAACATAACTGAGTGACCATAATATGGGTGGTATACGACTCGTGTCGGGTGATAACATATCAAATGAGTCACTGGCTCTTTATAATCACATCCAACTATTCAAACTCTCCTTGCCATATCAACCATTTAGCTTAGGTATACATAAAAAAAAAAAAAAGAGCAAACCGCACCGCACAACTAACCAACAAAACTCTCTCATTTCTCATTCATAATCAATCATGACTTAAAAGTACTTTTATGAGTATTCGTACTAGTGTTTATATAAATAGAGGAAAGAGAATAACTAATAAAATTACATAAGAGCCAGAACTAACCTACACGTTGGACGACCTGTCATTGTCCCGACTTCTTTCGCTACTCCGGTTACCTTCCTCTTCCTAAGGTCACTAACATGAAAAACTTCTCCAGATCAGTCCACTCAGGTGAAACCAACCCAACTTTTGTCGCATGACCAACACCATATGAGACCCCTTCTTTGAACTTCTAAGCAAGAAGAGCCTCGTATATTAGGTGGGGAGAAAGTTCGACAAAAAAACTCTTTAAGGCATCTTCACTTCTACCATCATTTCCTTTTAAGACACAAATTTCTTCAGCTATGTTTGTGAGAAAATCTGATAGCTTGAGTTCGTACGCCTCCACTTTTTTTGATTTCTTGTTCGACTCCACTAGTGATAAAACAAACCACTGTGCCTTTGTGAGAAACAAATCAAGATTTAGAGGCAATATGGATTGCATTCTGAAACATACTCCTTGATTGACGTGGTTGGTAGCAGCAGTCTGATAAGCAATATCAAGTGGTTGCGATCTGACTACTACGATAAAGTGGCAAGGATCCAAAAATCTTAGAGCTCAAAAATCCTAGGCATATAGAGCTCTAAGATTTTTTTAAACTTTTGAGTTATCTCAAATTCCTTCAATTAAAACATTATATTTTAAGGGCATTTACATGCATAGCACACAATTCTCATATATTTATATATCTCACTGCTAAACTTTCAAATTTTACACACATAACTCTCAAAATAGGTAATACCTTATAAAAAAAATATCAATGTTATTACTTCTAAAAAAGAAATACATCTATCATGCATAGGTTTAAAACACCAAAGTGTTATCTTAGTAAATATGAAAATTTAGGTGTGAGATATGTAATTACATAAAGAATTATGTGATCCTAATTTAAATTTCCCTATATATTAGCATGCTAATTAATATTGTCTAACTTCTCATCAGAATTCAAAAAACATTAGCAATGCATGCTTAGCTTCAAATATTATTTATTTTCTTATCATGTTGCAATATTAATTTACGTAAAAACTCCTTTCAATTACAATTTAATTATACAGTTATAAAGTTTGTTATTAACACTTAAGGTTATCTCAGGTGCTGTCAAAAAAAATATTACGTTCGAAGTCCGAAGACAAGCTACGTTCGGACATTTCCTCCTCCGCTTCTTCCGGCGGATCGCAGCTGTTGTCCGGAGCACTCGTATTATTTTTTCTTTTGGTCAAATCAATTTCTATCAAAATCTTACAAGTGGATAGAAATAGTATAAACAATTATTAAGTGACAATAATTGAAATGATATGTCAATTTGAAAATTAACTTAAGAGATTTTTCTAATATATTATATACAATTGTTTTATTTATATATTCAAAAGTTATAATATACATATGTGACACTTAAGCTTTCAGATGACATAAGAAATTCTATCTTATTCAAAATAGTCATTGACTTCCGTCAAAAAAAATTTTATAACATGTTGGCTGTCTCATCAATATCCTAACTAGATCTTGCCGCTCCCTAAGAAGATCCCATCTAGACTTCCTCATGTTTCCATTGTCATGGCGGGTCCATGGTTTATACGGCCGGTCTCATTAATAGAGAGATATTGTCTTGTTTTACCAGCAATATCCCATCGCATCTTCCACATAATAGAGGAATTTACATATATTAGATATAAAATTATTACAACACCCAAAAAAAATTTAAAATAAATAACTTTTACAAAGTGAAATACGCATTTTATTGTGTAGAAAAAGTGACATTCATGTAAAATTTAGGATCTGTTTGGGGCAGCTGTAACCATTGAATAATCTGTTGATAAGCAGATTAAAAATGATTTGCTGATAAACTAGGTGTGGTGACTATTACAATTTTTTTTTTTTTTTAAAAGTCAGACCGCTACTAGAAAGTTGTCACCGCACCTAAGTAGGTGCGGAGTGAAAACACTATTTTCAACATTTTCAAAACGCATAAACTGTCGAAACGCAGTTTACCAAAACAGGTCAAGTGCATTTTCAAAACACAAAGTCACCAAATAAACTGCCCCAAACGGACCCTTAGTTGTTAGTGTTGTGTTAACTTTGAAATTTAAAACGATCGACGACGAAGTGAAAAAATAAAATGACACGAGAAAAATCACACCAGAAAAGAACACACAGATTTACGTGGTTCGGCAAATTGCCTACATCCACGGAGTTGCGGAGGATTTTATTAATTGAGGAATTTATACCGTTTGAACACAATAATAATTGTAGGAGAAAGTCTCACTTTCTCACTCTCTTCTTTTCTCTACACCGAGATACACCGAAGAGCACACCTTGTGATTCTACTGATTCGTATCCTTCAGCCCGTAAGTCTTCTTCCCCGTGCTTTGCGATACTTCCTTCACCAGCAAACCAACGCAGAACAGAGGAAGAATGAGGGAGAGCCGAATCTTGCTTTTCTTTACACTTGAAGTTCTATCCAAGAAGCCAAGAAAGAAAAAAACCATTCCAGCATATTACGTGAAGAGAAAATAAAAAGCAAAGAAAACCGTGATTAGCAAATTAAGTAATTTGCCTAAGCTACAGTGGAC